TACATGTCTGAGGAAAAAAACAACACTCCTGTCAGAGCAAAAATGTTCAGGGAGCTTCATATTAGAGTATAGTAGTTAATATCTTAGTGGATGGATGCTGGCTACCACCAGACTGCTTTAAAAAAAGGGTATATCACGGTCCTTTTCAGAAGGTTTGTGCTTTACCCTTTAGAATACCATTTTGTGTACATATCTTTAATGGTGTAAATGATGGTGAAAGTGCTTCTTCTCTTTTGGGGGGTCACCCTGCCTTGGTGGGAGAGGGCCAGCGTGTTGAAAATAAAAAAAAATCTTTCATAGTAGACAAGAGATAGAAAAAAAAATAGTTTACTGCATGCACAGATATATAACCGTTCATATTACTGGAGCCATTTCAAAGCACTCTGGAAGGGAGACGAGATTTAATAATCCATACATGGAATATCTCTAAAGGCCAGGTTTCTAACCTGAAAAATAACACATACAGGATACAAAAATATAGAACGTGATGCAAAGAAACACTTTTAACATCCACTATCCAAGACTCAACATCCTGCTAACAAACAAAATAACTAAATATGCTTTAAACACTTAAAAATAAAGGGGTGTTCCTGACCTACTATATTAATATACAGCTTCCTATCCCAGTAAATATTATGAGAAACAACGGTGGGGAATATTTCCCAGAAATGTTTCTCAGCCTTTTATGTTATCCCTAGTTTTCTACAATGAAGAAACATGTTTACATTAAGGAGAGCGAGTTCAAGTTGGAGCAGTATGCAAGTGAGTTTTACGAGTATTAAAATGATATGGAGGAGTGCGGAAATGAGTTACACAATCGAGGTAGAGGGGAGTGAAAGAAAACTGGAGAGGGGTATTAGAAGTGTGGGGAATAGGGTGGGTGCCAAAGTGAGACGAGGGTGTGGGAATCTTAGGTATGTTGGAATCGTCGGTGTAGATGACTAGTAGGCCCAAAAGATGGAGCTCAACCTCCCTTGCACACACGGCCAGGTTAGTAACATGCCCCAAAGCTGAAGTTAATAACTCCCCTGAAAGAACCAAGTGATAAGCCCAGAAGCTCTACATCCCATGTAAACCTCCACAGATCGTTGACCAGCAGGCCAGGCCCAAAAACCATAGCTATATCCCCCTCAAAAAAGAATAGTAGGCTCACGAGCTAGAGCTAAAGCCTTTATAACACTGCTAGCAGAGTAAAAGGCTGAGACGCTGGAGTTCCTCAAACAACTAGAATCATATCGCGCACAGAAACAAGAGTTCAACCCTCTGAAAGTGACAATGCAGGCCTCGAAGTTGTAACTCAAGCTCATTCAAATATATAACTAAGAAGCTTTGCAACATGAATAAATGCAAGTGTATTTAGTTTCAAGTCAACAGAAAAAAGAACATTAACGAAATATTTGATAAAAAAATATAAAATGGAAAAACTTAAAATATATATAACAAATGCACCAGAATATCCTAAGGTGTTTTCCTTCTAGGTACAAGTAGACACTACCTTTAAAAGTATGAATATCTAAAATGTTCAAGCAATTGTCTTCATCCTCTTAGTGAGCATTCAAAGTACTATAAAAAATAATAATACATACTTCCTAAAAATTACTGTAGTCAAAAACTTTATTATCCAACACTTTCAACTGAGACTATCAGACGCAACGTGTGACCTTAAAATTAATGAAAAGTGACGTAAGTTTGGTTAAGTTCTGCTTATTCGTTACTTCAGTGCATAACGAATGACATTCCCAAAAATTAATCCAAAAATTTCCACAGGGTTACACCGACCACAAACAATACCAACATTTGTTTTGCATATTTAAGTAGGTGGTGTAAATTTACAGTTAGTCCAGAATAGGAATACGCTCGAACCAACCCAGAGACAGAAGAGAGGGAAGGAACACTGTCAATAGTGTCAATGGAGAGTAATCAAATGAGCGTAACTTACCAAACTCACGACACCCTTCCCCTAGGCAAGGGAATGTGCTCTTTAGTCTATTTATAATTCTTTTTAAATAAAAGTTCGAATCAAGCTTAATTTTATGAATTTGAAAAATGGTCATTAGATTTAAATTAATATATCGTAAACAGATGCACGAAGTTTCATAAAAATAATTCCATGCTACATGTAGGGTCTTTGGGTAATTTGATATTTGGATTTTTTCTGGTTTCGTTATTATAATCAAATTAAGCTGGAAACCCACAAAGGCCTTACCGCTGCTTTCAGGTTCAAGGCTATTTCATCAAATACGTAAAACGTTCACTATTTGGAAAAAATGTGAATGAAGTCGGAAAAACAATATTTTATATAACCTTTTAATGATTAGACAAAACAAAAATCAAGCTTCATAGAACACATACTCTATTATATGTGAGAAGTGTTAAACCCGTACTGGTCAAACATCGCCTATTTTTACTTGTAGTCGCTACCCCTTAGGTTTTTTGTTTGTTTGTTTATTTGTTTGTTTTAATCAACAGATATTTCATTATCACTGTGTCTCTATACATAACTGTTCATCAATTTTGTCAACCTAATCCCTCGGAAAATCGGTAATATTCTCAAGCTGTGTGCATGAAACTACATCTACCAATACTATTAAATAACTAATTATTGTCTGTTTTAATGTTCAGAAACAAGTTACTTAACACTACAATGACGATCGTTACCTTATCTAATACTATTTAATTACAACGTCACACAAACAATTACTGTACAATAAACAAGTTCCAAGGCAATTGACATGATACAGTGTAATTATGCTTTTGATGTAGATTTTTTGTTTAATATAAACTCAGTGTCATTTTTATTTCTGGTTACACCAACTCTCCAACATGCAGGTGATAATGGAGCAAATGTCAAGAGATATTTAATGATTTACTGGATCATGGCAGCAATTGATTCATGCTACCAATGTTTTGACATCAAAATTAAACATGCTACTGACGCTTTGACATCTAAAACTCAGTAAGAATAAACAACACAAAAATATGCTACATAAATTATATATAAAACATGCAAAGAGTAAGGAATGATATCGCAAGATAATGTGATAGAGAAGAATAAATCTAACTACACGATCAGTGTGTAGAGGCAGCTGTGCTAGGCTAATATCTGAGAGGACGTTCCATACAGGGACGTTCTAACCTAATTAAATTGGGCAAAGTAAGGCAAATTTTTGGTTAGAATTTGCCCATGGCGAAACGTCCTCAGCTCAGGATAAGACATAATAGGATAAAAAAAAATATCCTGAGCCAAAATGTCCTATATTTGGTCTGGGTGGCTGGCCACCAAGCACATACAGCAGTGAGGCGCCTGAACATATTTATTCATTTCAACATTACCTCCGATGACTCTTCCTCACGACTGCCGCCATTACTCAACTGAGAAGGAAAAATAAGTATGAGTAAAGATAGTAATACGATCTGAGGAATATCAAAATCAAAAGAAAAAAAACAGATAACGGCAATTTAGGAAGTTATTGAAGAATCTCACCGATTCATGGTACCCTGGCTCCTACAGGAACTAGATACACTCCTTTAGACTTGCATTAGCTATAAAATTATAAACTGATCAAAGATCAATATCTGCTAAGAAAAGGCACTGAATCCTGATAAAGCACCAATCACAGTTAAAATTTTTACTGTCTGCTGGTACAGCCTGGAAACAAAACCGTTCAAAAGCAAAATGCAACCTCGGAGTAAACAGTTTTATGAAAGGAACATGTAAATTATCCATTGCTTTATTATTAAGTAATTAAACACATTATAACCTTTTGTTGTTAACAACATCTGATAAAAAAAATTAAGATAAATAATCTGCACACAGAAAAACGAAAATTATGACATTTCAGTCCTATTTATCTCATGCCCGTCAGCCCTTCAAGAGGGTACCTTGATGCCGATGAAGACCTCTTGATCCAAGAAACTGGAGATATCCCCTTCCACAGACCAAGACTGATCATCTTTTATTCCCAAGGTACTCTTAAGAGCACTACGAGCTTAGCGCTTTCCCATGAATATAAACAATCCTACCCTTCCATCAACGGCAACTTCCTCTCGTTTATTACATATATATTTACGTCTGTCTGTTCATTGAGTTCTCCCTCTATAGTATCCTGAAGATGTAATAAACGAAAATCACCATTACTACGTGGCAATAATTTTGGACTCTCTTTAGAGGTAGATGAATCGGGCCTCAATGCTGTTACTTTCACTACATAATGAAATCTCATTTCATGGAGAGCATTATTATTATTATAATCAAAAAGAAGCGCTAAGCCACAAGGACTATACAGCGCTGCAGGGCAGGAAGGAAGCGAGGGCATCAGGTGGCAAAAGGGAGATGGATGAGCAACAGGTTACGGATAACAGCGGGGCAGTGGATGGTGAAAGGGTAAAGGGCAGCAAGAGACTGAACCAGAAAGGGCTGAGGGGAGTGCGAAAAGTATCATCAGAGTTTGTGGAGTAAATCAGTCGTTGTCAAGAAGTCAATGAGAGAGTCAGGATTAAAGGAGGGTCCATCAGCAAGAAGGGAAGGGTTTAAAGAGAGAGTAGGAACGAAGACGACGTTGGAGGTAAATTCTGCGTGCTCGTTGATAGAGAGGGCAGTTCTAACAGAATGTGGCTAATCGATACTGGAACTTGACACTGCTCACAGAGAGGAAACAGGGTGCCTCTCCATGAGATACCCATGAGAAAGGGACGAGTGGGGCCCAAATGCGAAGGGGGAGAGGTGGTTCCCCCAAACCTCGGCACTGATGACAAGAAGACGACCAGTAACCTATGCTGGGTTTTAATAGAATGAAGTTTGTTACCGAGCAGAGTTGACCAACGTTGTTGCCAACGGGTGCGAAGGTGGGTAGCTATTGCCAGCAAAATAGTCCAGAAATGGAACACCTCGATAGGAAATTGGTAGGTCATATACTGCTGACCGCGCAGCAGTGTCTGCCTGTTCATTGCCCTGTACGTCGACATGACCAGGGACCCAACAAAAAAACAATATCTTTATGTTTGGTAGAGATACGGCGTAGCCAAATTTTGGATACGGAGAACTAGGGGTGAGATGTATCAAATTTTCGTATAGCCTGTAGACCCACTAAGGGAGTCGGGAGACTACTACAAATGATGACACAGGCATAGATGCGATACGAGTAAGTGCTGCAAGAATGGCATACAGTTCAGCAGAAAAAATGCTAGCTGAAGATAGTAAAATGCCCTCGTCGACGCTGTCCGGAAACACTGCTGCGAATCCGACGCCGTCTGAAGACTTAGAGCCATCTGTGTACACAGCGGTGGCATGAGAATGGGAGTGGAAGTGATCAAGAAAAAGAGAGCGGGAAGCCCCGTAGGCGTTGAGCTTTCGAGCAAGGGAGTGAGAAAGAACAGACCCGAACAGCTGGGAAACTTCCCAGGGGGGTAGGGAAAAGTGAGATGCTACATGAACATATAAAGGTGGTAACTGAAGGGAAGAAAAGAGTGAAAGTAGGCGAAGAGAAAAGGGACGGAGCAAACAGGGGCGGCCGAACGAATAAAGAATGTCTACTAATATCGGTGGACCATCTAAAGGGAAGGATTGTGTAGATCGTGAGAGCGTACTTTAGTAACGAAGGCAATGGGCATCACGGCGATCAGAAAAGGATGGAACATTTGTTTCTGTATAGAGGCTCTCAACAGGGGAAGAGCGAAAAGCACCAAGGCACAAACGTAAGCCTTGGGGGATGGATAGAGTTAAGGCTAGAGGAGAGTTAGCAGGAGGGGCCCGCGGAATAAATCTGGTCACCATAATCGAGTTTCGATAAAACGAGGGCTGAATGTAGGCGAAGCAGAGTTCGACGATCAGCTCCCCAGGAAAGATGAGCAAGGGTTTTAAGAAGGTTTAGCCGGCTGTGACAAGTTGCCTTTAGAGAGGTAATGTGAGGTTTCCAGGTAACCGACGGTCAAAGAGAAGGCCTAGAAACCTGACTGTATCACGTTTGGGGATACGGGAGCCATAGAGATACAAAGGATGATCGGAGATAACAGAGCGTCTAGTGAAAGAAATTTGGTGAGTTTTGGTACTTGAAAATTTAAACCCATGTGGGGTTTGGCCCAAGTGGAAACACGGTGGGACCGCATGCTGGAGAGAAACTGCAATAAGGTGACAGTCAGCGCCTGCACAAGCAATAGCGAAGTCATCAACATAGAGTGATGACCAAATAATTGGGTGGAAGAACAGAGGCCAAATCATTTATAGCAAGGAGAAAAAGTGTTGTGCTTAGAACACATCCCTGAGGGACACCTTCAGCTTGGACGAAGTCCGGGGAAAAAGAACATTATTTACTCGAACACGGAATGTCTCTCAGTTAAAAAAGTTTTTAAAGGGAAAGGGATGGTAGATTGCCTCGGAGGCCTAAGGAATGGGCCTGGGCCAAAAATATTATACCTCCAAGTTGTGTCATATGCCTTCTCAAGGTCAAAAAAATATGGCAATAACTGAGTGATTATTCGCAAAGGCATTACAAACATACGTATCCAAGCGTAGTAAGGGGTCTATGGTAGAACGACCCTTACAAAGCCATATTGACTAGCGGAGAGACTGTTGTGAGTCTCTAAATACCACATTAAACGTCGATTTACGAGGCGTTCCATCACTTTGCAAACTGCACTTGTAAGAGCGATGGGCGAAGTGGGAGGCATCATGTCCTGTAGTACCCGGTTTTCGGAAAGGGAGAACAATGGCAGATTTCCACAGCTGGGGAAGAACTCCTTGTGCCCAAATAGATTGAAGAGGTGTAAGAGGACTACAAGGGCTGACCCATTTTAAATGTTGTAACATACGAATTTTGAATGTCATCAGGGCCCAGCTGCCGATGATCGGCAAGCTGAGAGCGTTGCCTCCAGTTCTTGAAGTGTAAAAAAGGGACATTATACTGTTCTTCTCCGAGAGAAGAAAAGTCCAAGGGTACTAACTCTCTGGCAGACTTTGAGGAAAGAAACGAGGGGCATAGATGGAGCCCTCGGGAAATAGGACCAGATGTGTGCCAAGTTCAATGGCAACGTCGAGAGGGGTTTTCTATATCAACACCAGTGACCCGTGAACAGGAGCCCGGGTCAGGAGAGTATTTACCACTAATTTCCTCACTTTTTTCCAGACTGCACTCATAGAAGAAGCAGAGGTGATGGTGGAAACATAGTCTCGCCAACAAGTGGTTTAGCTTCACGGATGGGCAGGCGAGCGATCGCCCCGCTTCGCTTAAAATCAACAAGTCTCTCACGGTTCTATTGTACCGGTACCTGCCCCCTGCAGCACGTTCAAACGTACTGCACGAGCACAAGCAGGAGACCACCAAGGCACGCACTTCTGAGAATGCCTGCCTGAGGTTTGGGGGTATAGAATGAGAAGCTGCGGTTATAAACTGATGTCGAGAAGATGTGTAGGAGCTCATCAATGGGAGGATGAAGAAAAGGAACCCCACTAAAAGCAGTGAGGTGTGAGTAAAGATCCCAATTTGCCCGATCAAAATTTCCAGCGAGGGCTACGGGAAAAGGGGGTGAATAGGAAGGAGAAGTAAGAATGATCGGAAAATGATCGCTGTCATGTAAGTCTGGGAAAAACAGACCAGGTTGAAGTCTAGTGCAGTGGAGGAAGAGCAGACTGATAGATCGATGCAAGAGAGGTATGAGTACGAGGATCAAAATGGGTGGGAGTACCCGTATTTTAAAACATGGAGGGGGTGAGAGGCAAGAAAAGCCTCCAACTGAATGCCACGTGAGGGCACAATGAGATCCCCCCCAGAGGAAATGGTGGGGCATTTAAAATCACCAAGTAACAGAAATGGTGGTGGTAAGGTGAAACAAGGAAAGGCAAAGGGCTGGGGTAGAAAATTTTCGAGAAGGAGAGAGATATAAAGAACATATTGTAAACCACTTATTCAAGTGGATACGGGCTGGGAGTGTAATGCAGCGAGGTTTGGACAAATAGTTGACAGTACGGAATTTTCATTGCGTAGAAGAGGGCCTTTCATTAAAGGTCCCATCTGAGAAAGGATCCGAAGAATACAATAAATTATAGCCTGAGATAGGTTGGAAAACAGCTGAGTGTAATTTTGGTTCTTGTAAGCAAGCACCAACAGGGGAAAACCTGGAAAGCAACATCTGAAGCTCACCCCGATTACCCTGAGGGGCCGCGGATATTCCACTGTAAATAGGCCATGATTGGCGATGAAGAAAATATCAGGAATCTGTAGGTAAGGCACCTACGGACTAGAGGGTTAGAAAAGTCAACGTGTGGTGGCATTGGAAGATGTTCAAGTAGCGAAGGAACGGAGCGTGCGAAGAATGGGGTTGTGAAGATGGAGGAGAGGGAAGAAGGAACAGGAAGTGAATCAGTGTCCATTGAAGGT